CCTAAATGGAGACGCATAGTCACACAGGTCATGTGACCTGTGGACAGTGGTGAGGTCACCCAAGGGCAGGTCTGCTTTATAGACCCACCGTGGAATGTACACACACACTCACACACACACACTCACACTTGCTCATACACGCACATGCAGAGCACGCACACACTCGGAGGGCAGAGCTATTCTGGGCACGCTCATCAGCGGCTAATTTTAATCACCCTCAGCCTCGCATCTCAAATCCCAAACACTTTGGTGTGTGCAGTCTCCGAATACTCACCAAAAATAGTTCTGGGAGAGAAACACAGGAGCCCAGAGGCCGGCTGATGGCAATTTGAGTCAAGTCTCTACTTTTTGAATACCTTCAGGACAGCGCGGCATCTCTCTCTCTCTCTCTCTCTCTCTCTCTCTCTCTCTCTCTCTCTCTCTGTCTCTCTCTCTCTCTCTCTCTCTCTCTCTCTCTCTCTCTCTCTCTCTCTCTCTCTCTCTGTGTGTGTGTGTGTGTGTGTGTGTGTGTGTGTGTGCATAGACCAGAGGTCAACCTTGGGTGTCATTGCTCAGGAGCCATTCACTTTACTTATTAAGACGGGGTCTCTCCCTGATCTCACTGATTTGGCCAGACTGTCCGGGATCCACCCCTCACCACCTCCCCAGCACTGTGATTACAAGTGTGTACAACCATGCCTGATTTTCCCCATGGGTGTTGGGGGGGGGTGGGACTTAGGTCCCATATTTGCTCATGGTCCCCTCAACTTGCTTTCTTATACAACCCAGGACCACCTGCTCAGCGGTGGCTCCCAGTGTGCTGGGCCTTCCCACATCAATCATTAATTCAGAAAACGCCCCATCGACTTGGCCACAGGTCAGTCTAATGGAGGCTTTTTTTTTTTTCTCCCTCTACTGAGGTTCCCTCTTCCCATGTGAACTCAGGTTGTGTCAAGTTGACAAACCAACAAAGAAATAAAAACAGACCAGCACACCCACCCACACACTCGGAAACGGAACAAAACCTCCTCCTCTGCGTCAGTCAGGTGGGGAGTCGTAGATACATTTGAACTTGAGATCAGCCCGGGTTTGTTCCAGGGTCCTTAGCAAGGATAAGGGCTTAAGTGCAGGACGGGGGATAGATAAAGGCCAAAGAACAAGGGGGAGTTCCAGCTCGGGACCGGCCAGAAAGCAGGGGATGCAGGGAGGACTGGGGAAGCCCACTCACTGCCAAAGGCCCCCTAGAAAGGATGTGACTTGACTTCTCAGGAAGCCACATTCAGGAAAATCTGAAGGAGGGCGCTGCTGAAGACAGCCACAAGGCCAGGTCTGCAGCCAGCCGCCAGGGCTAGTCCTCAGGGATGAGTCAGCTGTGCTCAGAAGGAGCCCTCTCTTTCCGGGGGGTTTTGTCTTAACCCACCAGAGTTTAAGTCTTGAGCTGTGTAACCTCTCACCTACTGGTTCGACCGCTCTCTGCCTCTGTTTTCCAATCTGTAAAAATGGGTGCAAGAGGGGCGCTTGCTTCTCGGGTTATGGAAGGGATCGGAGGAGATGACACGTGGAAGGTTCTAGGTCCCGTGAAGCGTGTGCACTGTCAGCCCTCGCTGGCGTCACCCCTGTCGCTGGCCTGGCACTGCCCTTATCCACCAGCCATCAACAGGGGCCCCACAGCACTACACACCTCCGTCCTGGCTTGTTTGACGTCCGCTTAACACGAGCTAGAATCGTTGGGAAGAGGGACTCTCAACTGAGGAAATGCCTCCATCAGATTAGCCTGTAGGCAGGTCTGTAGGACATTTTCTTAATTTGTGATTGAAGGGGGAGGGTCCAGCCTACTGCAGGTCGTGCTGCCCCTGGGCAGGTGGTCCTGGGTTCTATAAAAAAGCAGGCTGAGCAAACCATGAGGAGCAAGCCAGTAAGCAGCACCCCTCCATGGCCTCTGCATCAGCTCCTGCCTCGGGGTCCCTACCCTGACTTCCCTCAGTGGTGGAGTGTGATGAGGAACTGTGAGATGTAACAAACTGTTTCCTCTCTCAAGCTGCTTTTGGTTATGGCGCCTATCACAGCTCACAGCAATAGAAACCCTAAGACACTGTCCTCTCAGCTTTAAGCCTGATGACTGGCCACTACAGTAAAAGGAGTTAAAATAAGAGGAAATTTAAAATGAGGGTGATGAGGCTGGAGCAGGAGGCTCAGAAGGCTGAAGTAAGATTTGAACTCAAAACCAGCCACTCCTAGAACCCAGGAGTCCCTAGGATGGCTTCATATGCTCCTCGGGGAACCTTTTAATTCTCATAGTATGTCTTAGTGTGTGTCAGAAAAATGCAAGCCTCTTGTCTGTGACAGCCATGTTAATTTTCTTTTCAGAATGGATATTTCTAGGCCTGACGCTACGCACACGTCTGCCTAGCCCTGGGAAGACGGAGGCTGGAGGATGATGGCAAATGCCAAGAGTCCTGGACCCTGTGACAATGTGGGTAGACCTCAGCACACACCATGCTAAGCAGAGGAAGTCACACTCAGACGTAAACATGCCATGTGCCCACTCACAGAAACACCCAGAATAAACACGCTCGCGCGCGCGCGCAGGGTAGAAAGCAGAGTTGTAGCTCAGAGAGGCTGGGAGAGGACCACGTGGGTGGAGACCATTTCGCAGTGGCGCGGCTACATTTGGGGGGTGGCGAGGATGTTTGGGAACTAGACACTCGACATTTCTGAACTGTCCTCTCCAAAGTAGTAGGTTTGGTGGCATGTCGACCTCAGCTCACTAAGTGAGAACAGAAATGAAGTTTGGTAAAGGACGTTGACGTTTTATTTTGGGACCAGAGTCTGGGCTGGCGCAGCTTGGCCTCCAACTTGCTCATGTCGCTGAGGCTGATGATCACAAACTCTTGACCTACGTGGCTCCACTTTCTCAGCACTGGGGTGGTGGGTGGGCACCGCCACACGGTTTATGCGGCACTGAAGCTCAAACCCAGGGCCTGTGCATGCTAGGCAAGCACTCTGCTAGCTAAGCTACATCCCTGGCCTCCACTGTCGATGCATTTAAAGAAAAATATGAAGTCCGTAAGTAGCACAGGAGGGATGCTGTCAGACAACTTACTGAGGTGGTACATATTTAGAAAATACGGTCTCGGCGCTGTACTATACACTTAAGGTGCAGATAGTTCCCGGGGCGGCAGGGGAGGGGGCAAGTAAAAAGTCTAGTCCCCACTGCTCTCTATTCCCCGGCAGCCAGCTTAGCACTTGAAAAAAAAAAAAAAAAACTTGTTGAGTTTAGCTCAGCCGGCTCAGCCCGGCTTAGTTAATTGAGTTAAGCCGAGCTGAGCCAGTTTTTGTAACATCACCAGCTGGCTGGCCTGGAGGTACTCCAAGTGGAAGGATGCTGAGAATCCCGCTCGCTCATTCAACGTGCTGCGGAAAGGTGGGCTCGGGAGGGGCCGCGCCTCATCTCCCCTGACCCACCTGGGTCCTGCTGGCGCCTCGGGAGCCCACCTGCTTTATAACAGAGTTGTTCTGTCTAGGCAACCCCCTGCAGGAGGCTGTGGAAATATCAGACAATGTCAGTCAAGAGGCCCTGGAAGAAGCCGAGAATCCGGTCCATCTGGGTCTAGGGGATGACCGTGGCCTTCGGACAATGTCCAATCTGTGGCCTGCAGGCTGCACAGCTGGGAGTGTGTCCCAACACAGAATCGTGACTTACTTAAAATAGTATGAGAATCTGTAAATGTGTGTGTGTGTGTGTGTGTGTGTGTGTGTGTGTGTGTTCACATGCATGCAGGTGCATGTGTGGAAGTCGGAGAGACGACCTTGGGGTTCAGCCCTTACCTTCCCCTTGTTTGAGGTAGACGGGGTCTCTTGCTCACCACTGAGAATGCCAGGTTAGCTGACCCCAGAGCTTCTGTGGATTCTCACCCCACCCAGAAGCAGTCTGGGATTACAGATCTGTGAAGCTGCATCCTGCTTTATGTGTGTTCTGGGGACATGTACCCAGGTCCTCATATGGGCACGACAAGTGCTTTATCTAGTTAGCCAGCTACCCAAGGCAATAGTGTGTGTGTGTGTGTGTGTGTGTGTGTGTGTGTGTGTGTGTGTGTGTGTGTGTGATTCAATTGCACGGCCCTCAAGTGTGAACTTTGTAGATAACAGCATTGCCTTGAAAAGTCAAAAGGTTGGACATGCAGCCCTCACCCGGGGCTGCTTTTGCCAGCGGCTCCCAGGATGTACTTAGCCGAGCCTGTGTGGAGCTCATTCACGCAATATGATTGCCTGGGTTGAACCTGGCGGAGACCTCAGCCAAATTCATTCAGCTCTGTGACTCTCCTTTTCTCTTCTTTGTCTACACACAATGAACATAATAACAACTGAGAGGGGAGAGAATCCGTGTCGAGTATGCAGGCACACAGCCCCCAGCACTGGCCGCACACGCAGGGGTGGGCTCTAACGACCTGCTGCCGGGGAGGGCTGGTGTGCAGGACCGCTTTCTGGGAGTGGGCTGTTTGTAAACACTCCCCAGCAGAGGAGGAAGCACGTGGCTTCCATCCAGCCTTTTGGAAGAGTGAAGTAGGCACTGAGTGGGAGGGGGAGACAGAGGCGGGCTGCCTGGATTCTACCTACAGGGTGAGCCTGAGAACGGAAGCTGGAACCAGGCATGGCTCTGGCTCTGCTCCAGCATGCTGCCCCACACCAGGGAAGGTGTCGATCTTGGGGTGACGCAGCAGGAAGGTAAGGCAGGGTGGATGCAATTCCCACCCAGGAACTGGCAACTCCTGCATCGGCTCCCAGACAGAGGGTGGGAGGCAGGCATGGGACTCTACATGGATTTTCACACTCCCTGGTCACTCTTACCCTGTGTGGTGAACTCCAGAAAAACAGTCCCCGGTTTTCAAGTTTAATCTAGAGAAGAGTTCTTTATTTTTGTCAAAGTGTCTCCATAAATACAAGAAACTCTGGATGGCCCAAATAACTTGAGGTCACCAGCCTCTGCCTCCCACCCTCCCAAGGATGTGATTAATACTCACTGGACAGAATTCATGTCGCACAACAGGGCCGGGTACAGATGACAGACAGGAGTTGCAGGGTGTCCCAAGCAGTCATGGAGAAGGTATAGAGCAGAAGGTGAGCCTGTGTGCCTGCCGATTAGGGGGTCTAATCAGGAGAACCCAGAAGAGCCAGGCTCCTGATTCTGGAGGTTTCAGGGCTGCAACCCAGGGCCTTGCTCACACTTAGGCAAGCACTCTCCCCCTGCACTCCGCCCCCAGCCCAGCTGCTGAAGATCTTCCTGTCTCTCCCTCCTGAGTGTTCACACTAGGTTTTTCTCCCCACTCGGCATCTGTTCCTTCCCCTTCTGGAGGAACGCCCCAGTCTTCTTTGGGGGAGACTCTCTCTCCCTGTCCATGAGGCTTGTCTAGACTTTGGCGGCAATTAAACGCCCAGCATCCAGCTCATCCCACCCATCATCACACCTTTAGTCATCGCTTTAGCAAGTGACCAGAGTCTGTCACACTCACTGGCCCCAACCCTGGGACTTTCGCAGAGGCCACCAAGACAGATTTGACTTGGGGGGAGATGTGTTAAGCAGGTGGAAGTCCCATCTAACCATGAAACCAGAAGGAGGCACACCCAGACCAAACAGATAGGGCGGGGGCATACTCTAGAAGCTCTCACTGAGGACCTGGATCCAGCCACGGCTGAAGCTCCGCCCCTCGCTTTTGATGGAAACAATCCCACCCGTTTTGTATCTGGCGGCAGTCCGTTTATGTCAGGATCCGGTCATTTTGCAACTGAAACCTCATGACTGATACATGGGGGTCACTTAACCTTTCTGACTTCCTGTTTTCCCGTCTACTAAGTGTCTCAAAATCTGTACACCATTCTGTTAGCAAATATATATATATGATATCATATACGCAGTCCTGAGGAGACATTGGCTAGGAAGTCTTTGAAGTGTTTATCAGTGGTGTGTGTGTGTGTGTGTGTGTGTGTGTGTGTGTGTGTGTGTGTGTGTCTGTGTCAGTGTCTGTGTGCATGTGTGTGTGTGTATGCAGGCCAGAGGTCATGTGTATATGTGCAAGTGTGTCTGTGTGTGCATCAGTGTCTATATGTTTGTGTCTGTGTCTCTGTGTGTGTGTGTGTTTGTGTTTGTGTCTCCCTGTGTGTGGAGGCCAGAGGTTAACATTGGAGCATCTTCTTCCATCACATTTTACCTTGTGTTTTTTGCAACACAATCTCTCACTGACTCTGACCTTGGGGTTCCACCTAGGCTGGCTGGCCAGCAAACTCCCAGGATCAGCCCATCTCTGCCCCTCTATGCTGGGGCATTTACTAGTTTTTGTTTTGTTTTGTTTTTTTGAGACAGGGTTTCTCTGCGTAGTTTTGGTGCCTGTCCTGGAGCTCGCTCTGTAGACCGGGCTGGCCTCGAACTCACAGAGATCCACCTGCCTCTGCCTCCCGAGTGCTGGGATTAAAGGTGTGCGCCACGGCCGCCTGGCCATTTACTAGTTTTAAAGCAAACAAAAGGAGTGGTGGATATCAGTCCCGCTTTCCTGCGCAAAAGAGGAAGGCAGTGAGACGAGCGTCTGTCACAAGCAGTGTGGAGAAAGTGGGAGGAAGCCACACGCTGACCAGAAACCCCAGGGGCATGGCAAGTAGGGCCTCCGCTTTGGAGTTTACCGTTAGGTTCCAGGGAGGGAGACGAAGGTGGTTGTGGTCACAGAAGTCCTACCGAGGGGGCTGGGTCAGAAGGGAGCACAAGGTCATATATGCCTCCATACTGTCAGGGCCACAGAAAACCTGTAGGAGGAGTGTGTGTATGTGCGTGCGTGTGTGCGTGTGTGCGTGTGTGCGTGTGTGTGTGTGTGTGTGTGTGTGTGTGTGTGTGTGTGTGTGTGTTTGCATGCATGCATATGCATGACTGGGGGATGATCCAGAGTTCTTGAGCAAGCATCTGGCTTCCTGGTCATGCATGCGGCCATGTCTTTCCTGGGAGAGCGTTCTAGCTGTCAGGGGTCTGTCCGCTCCTGAGCACTGGAAACCGAAACCCCCCACCTTCCTTGTCACAGCTGTTGCGCAGAATACTCGGGGGAGGGGGATTTCCCACCTAATAGTTCCCAACCGCTCAAAGGTTTCATTTCCCACTGTCTGCCAGCTCTTCTCAGAGCTCAACGGTCGGTCGATGCGTGCGCGGCAGACGTGGGCTGTTCCCCCGGGGTCCCAGAGTGCTGTCTCTTGCTTCTCTTTCGTGGAGGGAAGTTGGCACTGCCAGGAGGCAGACTCGGCCAAGGAGTAAGGTCTATTAGTCAGTTAGTGATGCGTGACATCGGAGGGTCTAGACCAGGCTGGGGATGAAGCTCCATGTTGCCCCCGGAGCTGCTGATGTTACAACTGTTACGGAAAGAAATGCCTTCTGTGAACCTGAGGCGCCTCACAAAATACACTCCGCAGCATCACCGTCTCCTCCCGCCCCCCCCCCACCCGCAATGTCCCTGAGGGTGACATTCACCCTCCACCTCTGAGCGCTGGGATTACAGGTGTGCACTACCACACTTGGTTTATGTCGTGCTGGGAACTGAACCGAGGGCTTTGTGTATGGGAGACCAATCACCCTCCCAACTGAGCTACATCCCAGACTCATCACTGTTTCGCTTTTGTTTCAAACATTTGTTGTGTGTTTGTGTGCCAGCCCACAGGAGGTCAAAGGACACAGTACAGGAGTCTGTTTCCTACGTCCAGTGTGTGGGTCCATGGCTGGAACTCAGGTCATCAGACTTGGCGGTAAGCACCTTTACCTGTTGAGACATCTCTCTAGCCCTGTTTCACTTTAAAAAAAAAAAAATCTAAACTTCAGGGGCTGGAAAGATGGCTCACAGTTAAGAGCACTGGCTGCTCTTCCAGAGGACCTGGGTTCAATTCCTAGCACCCACATGTCAGCTCACAACTGTCTGTAACTCCAGTTCCAGGGGATCTGACTCCCTTTCTGGCTTCCTTAGGCACCAGGCATATACATGATACAACAGACATACACACACAGAGGCAAGACATCCATACACATAAAATAAAAGTAAAATTTTAAAATCTATATTTAAAACATTTCCCCTGTCCTCGGTGTTTTGATGAACTTCCGTGTTGTATTCCCATACACAGTGTTCACAAAATATCATCGATCTTGATGATTGATGGATAGATGGGTGGATGCTTTGAAAAATACCTGTTTCGAGGGAATCAGTACATTGGGTATTTTGCAATGTCCCCGAGGGTGTAAGGGGCTTGAGGGGTCAGGCCTGGCAGCACAGGCCTGTATTCCCAGGAACTGGGGATTCTGAAGTAGCAGGGTCACAAGTTCATGGCCAGATGGAACTTGTGTTCACTGAGACCCTGTCTCAAAATAAAATGTAAAAAGAGGGCTGGGGTCTGACTCAGGGGTAAAGTACTTACTCAGTATATGTTAGGTCCTGAGTTCAAATCCAGTACTGAGAAGAGTAAGAGAAGAGCAAGGAGGTGGTAGTGTACTTACAATACAATTACTTACTTTAGCTCGGTGGCATGTACTTACAATACAGGCCCTTAGGAAATAGTGGCAGGATATTGGGGCCAGCCTGGGCTACGAACACCAGATGCCAATAAGACATAACACAGTCTGGGGTGGTGGCGGCAGAGACTACAAGCCAAGAGGGATTGACAGAGACTAGGATTTATGCTCAGGGTGTTGACTGGAAAATAAACAGGAATTACCAGACAGGCACACACATTCGGTCTGTCACCAGTTCCTACGCTCTGAGCGCGCAGAGCATTTATAGCCTGGGCAAGGCTGGGTGTAGGGAGCATGAGCCGTTTCTGTGGGAATGCAGCAGGGTGAAAAAACGCCACTGGCCGCCGGTAAACACCCCCTCTCCGGGGCCGTGCTCTGCTCAGCAGGGGTTGCCCTAGTAATGAGTTTAGCTCTCAGGCTATTCATTCAGCCTTCCGTGAAAGCCACAAATACTTACTGAGCACTTAGGATGTGCCAAGTAGAGGCTGGGGACACAGGGGACACAGAAGGGCCTGCCGTCAACCTGTCCCCTGCTTTTTTGGACTTCTCATACCGGCAGTCAGAGAATCATTAAGCAAACACGAGTCGGAAGCGCGATAATAAAGAACGGCAGAACACGTGTGTGAGCATCGGCAACACCCCCCCCACCCCTCCCACCCCCCCCACCCCCTCCCACTCCCCCGCCACCGCCGCCGCCGCCGCCACCCCAGTGCCTGTCAGCCATCTGATGCCAGGTGCGCTGTGGGAATAAATTAGAATAGGAGCCTTGGATAGCGCGACCTCAGGGACTGACCAGCACTGACAGCGAACGCCAGGGAGAGAAGTGACAGCTTCCGTTCCCGGTTTACGCGGACACAGTTTTAGATCCGGGGAGACCCCGGATGGTGCCAGCCAGACCAGGACAGCCAGCTCAGCAGTTATCTCCTGCCTTTCTCAGGGGAGGTCCGAAATCCCACGTGGCAAAAAAAAAAAGGCCAGAGTTGCTCTAACCCGGTTTATACTGAAGATGGAAGCGGGGGTGGGAGGGGGGGTGGGGGTGGGGGTTGGGGGAGTGGGGGGGGGCCTGGTGAGATGGCTCAGCAGGTTCAAGGGGCTTGCAGCCAAGCCTGACAACCTGAATTGGAGAGAACTGAGTCCCACAAAGTTGTCCCCTGACTCCATATGCATGCCATAAGGCTCATTAACTCCACACACAGACACACAGACACACACACCTGAATTTTTTATTTATTGTGTGTGTGTGTGTGTGTGTGTGTGTGTGTGTGTGTGTGTGTGTGTGTGTAAAGGGGTTAGAAACATAAGCAAAACAAGGAGGTCTATCTTATCTTCTTAGTGTGCAGAGGAGGGTGAAATCCCTCCAGGAAGAGAAACCGTCTCCAGGCTACAGCATCACGGAGGCTGAGGACGACTTGTAATACGGGGCATGGGTTCCAATCCATTGACACCTCCTCAGATCCCGGACATCAGTATGGCCAAGGACATAGAACTCCCATTTTGCAGATAGGCTGAGCTGGTAGCCGCAGGACTCAACAGCAGTCCCAGACAGACATGGAAGCCCTAGTCTACCTGATTCCTGGACCTGCAGAGCTCCTACTGGGTAGAGTTTTGTCCTCGGGGTGGCCCCGGGGTGACTGGGCAGCTAGGTGCTGCAGGAAGTGGCCTGGAGGCAGAGCCCAGGGTCTGAGCTTGCAAAAGTGGCTGGAATAGGAAGCATGGCCCTGCTCACCCGCTTTTTTGTTGTTGTTGGGAGAAAAAAAAAAAAAAGTGGCATCCAAGACAGAAACCCCTGTCCCCTTCCTACGCTGGCCTCTGTCACACAATAAATAACGCCTTAGAGGAGGGGGTGGCCTGAGCCAGGCGGTTAAGTGATACTGCTGTCAGTCCAACCGTCCTGTTGGAAGAAACACACTGTAATCATGCCACCGAACCCTGAGAAAGACATTTGGCAAATGAGTTCCCATTTTCACATTGGATTGTGCTGAGCATATCAATTTCCCGCGGGCCGGCCAGCGTTGGGGATGTGTAATTGATTGCCCGCGTTATAATAAACAAGCCGTGACAGGCGATCATTCATCACGGGCCGCTGAACGTTCCAGCGACGCCGGGAGAGAGGGAGTGCGGGAACCAGGGGAGAGGAGGAGAGAGCAGCGCCCGGGAGGGCGAGGAGAGGGGACGCTAGGGCCGTAATTCTTTTCATTATCTAATTTGTTCTTACTGGCCTGGGTCCTCCAGGAACCCCTCCACAACATAGGAATCAGTCCCTCTCCCAGGGGGTCGGGGGGGGGGGAGGAGAGGGGAGGGGAGGGGCGAGTTGTAACGTGGGTGGATTTGTTCAGGAAAGGGAGGGAGGGAGGGGTGTGGGCGCGCAGGACTTAAGCTCCTTCAAGATCCGGCCTCCAATGGATGCTTCGGAAATTTAAATTTAAAATGAAACAAAAGAAACGTCAGGGGTGTTGTTTAAAAAAAAAAAAAAAAAACCCGAGAAGTCCTTTTATTGGAGAAAAGGAGAGTGTCAGAGTTGGCATCGAGTCGGGATCTGGCAGCGGGTCCTGGCCCCTCCCGACCTCCCTCCTCGGGACCCTGAATGGTGAAGGTTCAAGGCGTGGGCCCGAGGGGAGGGCGTGGAGGGGGCTGGCTGGGGTCCTCAGGCCTCACTCTGCCAGTTTGCAGTCCCTTCCCCACGCTCCGAGCATCCTTTCAGCCCTCCAGGGCCAGGGAGTGGAGGGGCGGAGCCTGTGTCGACGGAGGCGTGGTTTATCGAGGCGTGGTCATATTGGAAGGGGAGGGGCTTAGAAGACGGAGGGTTTCTGAGGGGCTTAGTATTGTTGCTTGGTATTGTCCTTGATTTTTTTTTTTTTTTAATCAGGCGGCCATGGCGGTGCACGTCTTTAATCTCAGCACTCGAGGCAGAGGCAGGTGGATCTCTGAATCAGAGGCCAGCCTGGTCTACATTGAAAGTTCCAGACCAGCCAGGGCTACAGGAAGACTAGGTCTCAATTTTTTTTAAGTTAAATTTTAATTTAGTGGGGGTGAGAATATAGAGAGACTGGAGGACAATTTGGGCAAGTCAATTCTCTCTTCCCACCTTGTTGGCCCTAATGGTCCAAATCAGGCAATTTGCCTTTGAGGCATGAACCACCTCGCCAGACCATCACCTAGCGTTTAGTATCTCCGAGGTGATAGTGAAGGGGAGGTTCTGAAGACTCTACTAAGGACCCGCATCTGAACAGGTCACCAGCCCCCAGCATGGCTGCCCTTCGTGCAAGATCCACCTTGTCCCCGGAGGAGGAACTGCTCATCTGGGGCCCCCAGGTGTTTCGTGGAGGTATCGGGAACAGGTTCGTGTGCTTCTCTCTTTCCAGAACAGCGGATGAAGTGGATCCTTCCTGGGGGCCTGATTTTGCAGGGGGAGAAACTGAGGCACAAAGAAATGAATGAGCAACAGGAAAAGCTAAAACTTGAACTTGACAGTGTAGCCCTCTAAAATACATATATGGGGGCTAGAGAGGTGGTTCAGCGGCTAAGAGGACTCATACTTACTGCTTTCTCAAGGGTCAGGGTTCGGTTCTCAGCACCCACATCAAGTGGCTCACCTATAACGGGATATATATATATATATATATATATATATATATATATATATATATATGACAAATAGCATAAAATTTACCATTTTAAAGTGCATGGCTCCATAGACATGCAGAGCTTGTGGGACCACCACCACTCGATGTACCGAACCCCATACTGTTAGCAGACACTCATCATTTAGCCCTACCCCCTCCAGGCTGCCGTCCATTTCCTTTCTGTCTCTGTGGATCCGCCTGCTCTGACTGTCGTAGGCGCGGAGTCAAAGGTGATCTTTTGTGTCTGTTTCCTTTCATTTTTGTGGAATATGGACAGAGTTCCTTGGTGGCATAGCCCACCTTGGGAATTCATTCCTTTATATGGCCAAGTAATATTCCATCGTGTGAATAGACTGCGTTTTGCTAATCCCTTATCTGTTGGTCAGCATTGAGGTGGTTTTCTGACCTTTTGGCCAGAGTGACTGTCTCCTAGAGACAGGCGTGGATGCTGTTTGACCATCTGTTTTTGATTCTTTGGGGTACATACTTAGGAGAAGAATTGCTGGGTCATAACAACTCAGCATTTAGCTCGTTAAAGAGTTGCCAAGCCGCCAACAACACTCGCTAGTTGCCATTTGTTTTATGATCGCCTTCCTGGTGGGTGTGCCTGGGTCCAGTGTGTGGCTCTCTCCTCGCCTGCTTTGGAGTCACGAAATCTAACCTAGAATCCTTCCTAATGCAGCGTCTTCCTCCCCTCTCCCATGGGCTCTGACTCACCCTCACCTTGAGGCTGGACCACATCCCCCCTGATGTACATCTTCCTCCTTTGTGTAGCTCCCAGTTGACTCTTGTTTTACATTTAGAGACAGAGTTTCACTGTGTCGCCCAAGCCTGCCTCAGCCTCTGGAACAGTGGGATGACGGGTGTGTGTCACCACGCCAGCCTCGGGGACTCGGATCCCTGTTTCCTTATGTCAGCTGATTAGTGTTCACCCTCTAAACTCATCTACAGCTGTGCCCACCCCAGGACCTGTTTGTCACTCTCTGTGTTGTTAACCCAGTCCCTGGTAGACTAGATATGTGGTGAGTGGGTCACAGGGACAGTGGCTGAAGTCCGAGGTCAGATCCTTGTGAATTCTCCTTTTCTTTTCCCCCTACTGTCTGTTAGGATTCACAAGCTACCATGCCTTAGGAACCAAAAAACTTACTTGGATGTAAGGAATTCAGAGACCAACAGGTTCACCGCTAAGGCCGCTCTTCAGAGCCCCCATGGACTTGACCAGGGGTCCTGAGGTTGGTGTGGGGATTGTGTTCATTCTGCTCCACGTGCTCCTGAAGGTCCAGGCAGATTACAGTGTGTTCACTCAGTGTAGACGTGACCCAAGCGTGGCAGGGTGACCGACCCCTGTTTTTGCCAAGCCACTCATTTTTAGGTAGGTACAGTAGCTACAGCAAGCTGTAGCTTCATGGCTTCCCACAGTTCTGGGTCAGCCCGAAGGTCAGATCTGGGAGAATGGGATGGGGTAGAGACCTTATCAACTAGAACAGGAGATCACACTCTACACCCATGCGCAGACCCTAGGGGCTGAGAGAAGAAAGTTCGACATTCATGCTGCCCCTTTCTTCCTCGGAACCATGAGTGGTTCTGGCCATCTCTATCCTGAGAAGTCCTTGCTGGTCAAATTCCACTACATCCATCTGCAAGCAGGGGAAACAGGCTCTGAGACGGGGAAGCATACCCAGCGCGCTGCTCTCCAACGGGGCAGCTGCAGGTGTGCTCCTTCGAGAGCCGTCCGACCACTTTCCAGCCATTACAGTCTCCATTAGTTTGATTAAGACAATTGATTTATTCATTTTTAGTGGCAGAGAGAGAGGGGGGGGGCAAGGGGAAGAAAACCCAACATGCCATTTGTATGATGCAAACATTTCTAGAAAAAGCTAAAAAAAACATTGTGTCATGCCTATTTTCTTAGGCCGCCGTCAATCAGCTGTCTGTACATCCACCCAGTACAGGGAGCCAGAGGGGAGTCCTCAGGTGCTGAGGACCCAGGAGGGCACTGTGCTTCCCAACCCTCAAGCCTGCACGGTAAGGCTAAAGATATGCAGACAGGGTAGAGTCATGCCTCCTTTATTAGTGTATTGCTTTAGGAGAAACTTCTGGAAATCAGAGAAACCTGACATTGGCAGGGGAAGAATATTAGCACGGAGAAACACTAAAAGTATTAGAAACGTGTGTGTGTGTGTGTGTGTGTGTGTGTGTGTGTGTGTGTGTATACTCACTTACCAATTTGACTGACTGGCCAGCAGCCCCCGCCAGAGTCCACCTACCTCTGCCTCCCGCACACCACCATGGCTGGGATCTTTTTCATTGCGGCTGGGTATCCGAACCCATGGCCTCACGCTTGCACAGCCTGTACTTTATCCACTGAGCCATTCTCCAGCCGCTGGCATCTTCGTCTTCGCCTGTGAAATGGTCCAGTTTCCCTGAGGGAAGAAAAGAGGGGGTGTGGCTGGGAGTGTGGTTCAAAGGCAGATCACAGGTCATCGCTTGCCTCTGGCTCACAGGGCTCTGGGCTGGATCTGAACCACTGAAAAGAAGAAAGCAAAGCAAAACAAGAAGGCAAAACAGTCATCACTTTCTCCGGCCCTGAAGGCTGGGGAATCTCAAGGTGCCCCACCCCCCACCCCCACCCATCCCGATCCTCCTAGCATCTCAAAGCCTTTAATCCCATGATTCTTCTGTTAGGAATTTAGTGCAAGAAGATCATGACAGACGCCTAAAAAGATTTAGTTACAGGATGTTTCTCACTTGGTGTAGATTATGGATAGAGATTGGAAACAACCTCCGTATCGAATCAAGAAGATAAGGGAGCTGCACTCCCCTTGAAAGCCCTGCTCACAGCCACGGAGAAAAAGACTACGGAATAACCTTAGACGGACAGACACTGAGTTTGTCTGGGGCCGGGGGATGGAGAGGCGCAGGATAAAGGTTTGAGTTTAGGATGGTCTATTCAAAACCCGACTTAAATTAGAAACGTGGTATCGCTAAGATCCGGAAGTCATCAATGAAACTCGAAATGGCATTCTGGGAGAGCAGCTGCCTCGGAAGGGCTGGCTCCAGGGTGCTGGGACGTAAGTAGAGTCGAGTGAGTATTAGAATACTCAGTAGGCTGGACAGAACAGGCACTTGGAGGCCATGGTAGACTCTTGTTTGTTTGAGACAGGACCTCTGGCAGCCCAGGCTATCCTCAGACTCATCATGTGGTCAAGGATGACCTTGAAATCCCGATCCTCCTATTTCTACTTCCTGAGTGCTGGAGTTGGCATGTACAACTACACCCAGTTTTATGTGGTTCTGGGGATGGAACTCAGGGCTTCTCACATGCTAGGCAAGCACCCTACCAACTGAACCATTTACACCCTCAGCCCTACTGTAGGCTCTTGAGCAAGAAAAAACCACAGCCATTTCCCAGTCCTTAAGAAGAGCCAGTCCACAGCAACTGTGTGAGTCTGTGGTCCAGGGTTTTTTTTTTTTTTTTTTTTTTTTTTTTTTTTTTTTCATGAGACAGCTATACTATGTGTTTGTGTAGAAATGGACAGGATGCCAGTACACAGTAGGGACTTAACAGCTCTCCATGTGGTGGTGCACACCTTTAGTCCCAGAATGTGAGAGGCAGAGGCAGGCAGATCTCTGTGAGTTTGAGGCCAGAAGGGTCTACATACTGAGTTCTGGGCCAGCCAGGTCTACATAGTATAATTCTGCTTCATGGATAGATAGATAGATAGATAGATAGATAGATAGATAGATAGATAGATAGATAAGAGAATCTGAGGGAAGAGAGGGAGAGAAGGAGAGAGAGAGAGCGAGAGAGAGAGAGAGAGAGAGAGAGAGAGAGAGAGAGAGAGAGAGAGAGGGGATATAGCCTCAAGTGGTCCAAGATCAGGTGTGAAACAGACCCACCTTTGTTTTCTGGGGCTCAAAAAGCCTTGTTCTGCAGGCTTAGGCAAGATGTTCAACAGAGCCCCACAAAGAAAGCCGAGTCCTGGCCTCTCTTATAGAGAGTGTTCTGTCCTCCTGGACTGAACCTCCAGAGTGGAAAACCCTGATATGGCCACGAGACCCCCCCCCCCAGAAAAAGAAAAAGGGGGCCATGGACAAGCGCCTGAGAGGGTGGATGCTGCATGCTCCTTTGTAACCAGGCAGGTTACATGAGCTGTAGGGAACCAAAGGCCCACCAGTCCCGGCCTCTCAACTTCCTTTTGGGGCTACTCTGCCATTTCCAATGGTCACTGCCGAATGACCTTAAATCTAGGGGCTGTCTTCTTCAGTTAAGGAACTTGGCACTGCTTGGGCGGCAGGGTGTGCATGGGGAAGAAGTGGAGAGAAGGAAGAGATGGAGGCCCTCTGGTCCTTTAATCACAGGGCGGAAGGAAGGGGAAGTTCAGGCAGAGCCCCGCAAAGCGGCTTCTCTGTACAGGCGGCCAGCCACTCTTGGCTTCCCTCAAGATTCCCTTGGCTCAGACCGGCTTTGAGAAACCCAGGATGGCTCACTTGCTCAACAATTCACTTGGCAACTTGGCTTCAGCTGGTGATTTTTAAAAGGAGAGAGAGAGAGAGAGAGAGAGAGAGAGAGAGAGAGAGAGAGAGAGAGAGAGAGAGAGAGAGGAAGAAAGGGGGTGCTGCTGCTGCACGTCAGTTGGTAGAGAGCTTGCCTAGCGTATCCCAAGCCCCGGGTTCAGTCCTCAGCATGGCACACACTAAGAAGTGACACATGCCTGGGAGACAGAGGCTAGAGGGTCAGAAGTTGTTCAAGGTCACCCTGGGCTACCCAGTTCTGCTTCAAGACTGAGGTCTTGTCTTGAAAAAAAAAAAAAGGAAGGAAGGAAGGATGGAAGGGAGGAAGGGAGGGAGGGAGGGAGGGAGGAAGGAAGGAAGGCCAGCCACAGGGCCCCAAAGTGACTGTCCCTGGGAGTGAGGGTAGAGGAATAAGAGAGGTGCTTCCAAAGCTCCTACAGAGAAACTCAGCCCGCTGTGACCAGCCACCGCCTAGGCAGGTCTAATTGAGTCACTGAAAGCATCAAGATAATCATCAACCAGAGGGCTAGGATCCCACACAGCTTTATGTGAAGGAATGGCTTTCCACTCGGGCTCGCACATCCCATCCCTGCCTGCTCTCCTTCCCAGCCGACCCCCTGCAACAGCATCCTGGACCTCAGGACACAGGTTGCAGAGTTCAGCCCCTGCCTGTAACTGGACACCCAAACCCACACAGTTCAGCCACGGCATCAGAGTTGAATGGACATCTCCCGTGGCTTTGGACCTTCTCTTGACCACTCTGTCCTCTGGCCCTGGCAGGTTTGTTTCTCTGAATTACCTACAGGAACCTGACCTGCATCAATCACTCTCTCTCCACAGACAGGAACGTACAGAGCCAGCCCGTCCAGTCAGCTACCTCTGGAAGCTTGCTCTTCAGCTTCACTCAGCAGCTCTGGGAACACATGGTCAGGGCACACAGAAGGCAAGTTCAACTTGATTAAGAACGCCCAAGGTACCTGGTTCCTTGAATGTGCCCAGGGAGAATTCAGGGGCACCTGTCTTAGCTTGGGGGAAATGCCCTTCGCTATCTTCATTTTCTTCTGCTGGGAACATGGTGACAAACTGCTGTGGTATGTCCCTGTGACTTGGGCTCCCACGTCAATCACAAAGGCTTTCCTAGTGCAAATCGTGTTTGCATTTAGAATAGAATGCAGTGTCTATGGAGGCCCTCACAGCCCTGAGATCACAGCAGGGGACAGGCGGCAGCTAGATCTGCTTCTCAGAAAATACAGCAGCTGGTTCCTGTCTCGCAGAACTGGTTAACTAATTAACTGATTTTGAGACAGGGTTTCATCGTGTAGCCCTGGCTGTCCTGGAACTCACTATGTAGCCCAGACTGGCCTTAAACCAATCTTCCTGCCTAAGCATCTTGAGTATTGGGATTGCCCTTCAAGAGCAAATCTTAAAAGTATAAGAGAGTTGCTGGGCAGTGGTGGCGCATGCCTTTAATCCCAGCACTTGGGAGGCAGAGCCAGGCGAATCTTTGTGAGTTCAAGTGCAGCCTGGGCTACAGAGTGAGATCCAGGACAGGCTCCAAAGCTACACAGAGAAACCCTGTCTCAAAAAACAAACAAACAAACAAAAAAAAACCCAAACAAACAAAAAGTATAAGAGAGCGAGTGTGGGGGAGGTAGGCCTGTCATCCTAGCACTTGACGGGTGGAGGCAGAAGGATCAGGCGTTCAAGGTCATCCTTGGTCACATAGTGAGTTTGAGGCCAGACTGGAGGATTACATGAGACACTATCCAGAAATAAATAATACATTCATACATACATATAGTAAAACAGACAGAAAGACTTCTGAAGGCAAAGGGCTATGTTTCACCCAGGACCATGGCAATACTCAATGACACAGTTCCCCAAAGAGTGTCTGATTCATGTGTCCATCTATATATACACTGGCTGCTTTCAAGCTGTGTGCTCTTGGGTGAGTGAGGTTTCTGTCCTCTGCCTCCTCAGGGGCAGCCGGGCTCCACAGACCTTCTCCTTGGCCCAGGACACCCAGAGGATGGGACAGAAGATGCACGCACACTTGGAGGTCCCTTGGTTTCCTGCCACACATGCCCAGGTGGGCTGATGGTGAGTAGAGGATGCCTCAGTTCCATAGCTTGCCAGGGGTGCCACATGGCTTGCTCTCTCTCACACATTTACTGGAAAGATGCTGAGTCTTTGAGTTGAGGCTGGCAAGACCCAGAACAACCTTTGACAGTACCCAGCCAACTGAACGTAATTAAACTGCACTCCCAGAAGCCAGCCCCATCTTCTTAAGACAGAAACACACGCTTTAAAAGTCCCCTGGCACCCTGGAGCAGCCTAGCTCCTGTGCTTCATGCCACAGTCTCAAACTGCTCACAGGGAGGCTCCTTAAGCTAGAAGCACCCGGCCCTTCTCTGACACCTTGCCTGGTCTTTCTCCTCAAAACTGAAGTTATGGGACTGTTACCTTTCTGTAATGGTTGAATGAAAATGGCCCTCATAGGTTCCTGCCAATCCAGATGTAGAACTCTGGGCTCCTCCTCCAGCACCACGTCTGCCTGCACACCGCCATGCCTCCTGCCATAATGACAATGGACTAAACCTCAGAACCCGAAAGCCAGCCCCCAATTAAATGTTTTCCTTCATAAGAGTTGCCATGGTCATGGTGTCTCTTCCCAGCAATAGGAACCCCCACTAAGACACTTTCCAACTTGGTTTCTTGGAAGGCCCCAGAGCTGCCGTCTTGACAATCATGGGGTGGAGCCACAGTGTGGAGCCAGGTGCTGATCATCCAGCGATGGGCAGCAGAGGGGACCACCTCTGTGTCCAAGCTTCCTTTCAGACGTTCATTCTGCAGCATGGAGTCCTGATGGTGGAGTAGGTGCCGGGGATTAGAATGGTGATCCAAACTT